TAGTCATAATTTTTATTTAAATTGCGTTAATTTACGTATGCCATTCAGTACAACTTGCACATTTAAACTTTGTCTAGTCAAATTCCTACCTCAGTTTTATTTGCATTGATTAATTTGTTTCATTAAGTACAATATGCAGTATACATTGTTGATACTATAGTACGCATTTAGTGTTATCACGCATAAACAAAGTGATAAATTAGCAACAATCCAGAGGATAAAATGCCATGCGTACGACAGAGATGGTGCTGTTTGCACCTTTTCTCAAGACCTCAAAATTTATACCTGCCTGCATATCTATATATATATTATCTTTGCTGTCATCCCGTATGCTTTCCAAATTATTTTAGTCCCTACACAGTACACACTACGCTAATCCATCAATTACATGAAAGCTGAAAGCACGTATGGGAGAAAAGAGCAAAATAAAATGGGTTTACTTAGGATTAGTATCTCCTTGTCGGATTGAATCACAGATCATCATGGTTGAAGTCCAATCCGGCTCCAGGAGAAGCTGACTAGTTGCTTTCTCAAGCAGCCGGTCAAAACCGGCAGACGACTTTCCAAACATTTTTCTGAAATATTTTGTAATTAAAAAAAACAATCTTTGTCTGTCATTGAACTCAAACAGCGGTTCTACCCTTCTCCGGAATTTTCCTCTGCAGTCGGCGGTCTGCATATCTGGTTAAAACATTATTTTCATGATTCTCCTTCATCTCATTTATCCATATCCTTCCTTCCCTGTCCTAGTTTCTGTATCCGGGTCTGTACATCAGTAGGGAACTCGGAGGAGTAGAACTCGGAGCAGGTCAAACAAAACCTTCTAATTACAATATTATTACTATTTACCACTCAAATCAGATAAAATCAGATAAGAGAATTAGGGACTTCCTCATGATCATTTCTAGAACTGAAGTGGCTACATTAAACCAGAATTTAAATGTGGACTTGAGGTTTGTAGCATTTTCAATTTTCCAGATTTTTAAGGGCTTTTTTTATGACACAACGGACATCAGACTTGTTTTAAGATTATCAGCATGTCATTGTCAACAAGGGGGTATTCAGGAATTTGTCCAGGGGGGCGGGGGCTTACATTCTTTTTTCTTTCCCTGAAATCAATAGATTTCACTGGTCCAGGGGGGTCTTAGTCCCCATAGCCCCCCCCCCCCCTAAATACGCCTCTGATTGTCAAACAAAAACCTTATAATTACAATATTGTTGCCATTTACCACTCAACAGTCCACACTCAGCATGGATAGCAATTTTTTGAAAAACCAAAATTGAAAATATATTATTTTTTTTGCTTTACATATCAATCTTAAAACTTGTCTGGTGTTCAATAATTGATAGAACAAAATTTCTTCACCATCCAGAGCCCACGATTTAAAAACTTCGGCTCGAACCGTAATTCCTTAAACCTGACTTTAAGACCCAATCTTCGACCCAACCCTTGCTTGCGTGATGCAATACAATACAAGATCTTCGGCTCGACTTAAGGAGTTAGGCCCAATGAAGATAAAACCGACCTTGGATGGTTTTAGTGGAGAATAAGGCTCAATGTTGAGTCTTAATTTCAGAAAAACCCGGAATGTGCCAATTCCTACCTTGAAAATCCGCCAAAGAGAATAATAAACCGTTTCATTTAACTCAACTCTGTGGAAAATAAGATGAAGCTTGAATCCGAAAGCTCAAGTCGTAATTAAGGCCCAAAGACAGCTTAGACCCGAGCTCTATTTTCCCGAATTTTTTAAATTGCGGGCTCTGATGATTCTTATTTTTTATTTTACAATCCTGAAATTACATTTTGATAAATAGAGATCCCTGAAGGATTATTAACAGGATTCTTAATCTTTAAATACATATTGTTCATTCCTGGTGTAGAATATGGAGCAGTCCACACAAACTGCAGCTCCACAATGCGAACAGTCCCCGCCCACCTGGAGAAAATTATTCCCAAACCTTGTCTCACGAGCTGAGAACGGATCTATCATGAGATAAGCGTCCTCGTTGAACTCAACCAGGTTCTTCACAAACTTAGGTTTCCTCCCGTGATAGTGAACCATCTCACTCAGCTCACAGAGCTTGCAGGTAAACGGAATTGTTTTCTCCAGAAACTCGTCCTTTCGTCCCTCCTTCCCGGACGAGTCAAGCTGCTTCTCCTGATCCGTTAATCGGTCCAGGAACTTGGATTTATCTTCCATCATCTTGATCTGAAATTTTAACATTTAATAAATAAATCACAGATAGAGAATACACCTAGCAATGATAACTTTAAACAACAAGCAAAATGCAAACTTCTATGGGAAGAGGTAGGATATTTTATATTCCATAAAGACTCATTTAATGGATCAAATTCGTCACGAATAAGAAAAACATTGCTGAAAAGGTTGGGTCTGAGTCGGCATAATTAAATGAATTTCGAGTTGAAACTGGATCTGTATAAAAAATAAAATGTACAGCACTGAAAGGGTAAAATAAATGTTAGTGAGAAAATCAAATTATTCTCAATAATGTTTAAACCATGAACAATATCAAATAGATGACAAGGGGTACCTTGGTATAGGTAAATATATAATATTCGAATGTAAATGCACTAGTTCTGAGGAAAGGATTGATCTACTTGTTGGAGAAAGGATTGAGAATTAAGGATACTTGTTCCTCCGAGGAGAATCTGAACCTTGAGGTTCGAATTTAACTGATGAACGGTGTACGCTTCCTCGTATGTAATTCCTCCGATGACAAAGACGAGGATGTTGGTGACCCTCCCCTCGTGGGGAGAACCCAGACAGGGGAACAGGTTGCTCCTTAACTTCCCCTTGATTAGATCCTCCAAGATTTGTCTGAGTAAAGGTTGATGTTGTGTATAAACATTCTCCACACCCTTCAAACCTTTGAATAATTTCCCTGTTATATTCCGGGTAGAACTCAACTCATCTCCGAACAGGTTTCCTTTCCTAGCGTTTATCCCGGCATACCGCTGCAGGTTCTGGACTCGTCGAGACTCGGTTTCTCCTCCTCTTTTCCGAAGCTGGTTGAGTAGGGTTCGGATACCGTTGTTAGCTTGACTTTCGAACCTGAGAGCGAACAACATGATCAGTCTGGTAGCATCGTCTAGTGGTATATCTTCACGTTGTACTAGTTCAGAAACCTAAATATAAATATTTTCAAGAGGTTCTTTCCTAATTTTATCGTAGGCTTTGATTATCAAGAGAAAAACTAATAATAGTGACCTTTTTTAGCATCGTAGAATGGTCGCCATCGGAAACAAGTTCCTGTTCCGTCTCTGAAACCTGGAGAAGTTTTTTGACCCCGACAAGTCTTGAGAGCTCGGAAACTAGTGTCACGTGCTTGGACACAGTTCCTAGAGTAAAAATATAATTTTGAACTGTCAGAACTGAAACATAATCTTCTTAAATAAAAATTGAAATATTTTTTGGGCTTTCTATAAAATTTGTAGGCCATGGTTGTAACGTGCAAAATAATTGTTTACTCCCCCCCCCCCCAAAAAAAAAAAATACATCTGCACAGATTCCCGATTTTCTTTATCGACCTTCTTTTAATATGATATTGTAAGATAAGATTTTCTGAAACCTAACCTGACATTTTCTTAAATTGTGGATAATTCTCTACAAAGTTCTTCATGTCGGAAATGCTTTCGATCTTCTGATGACTCTTGGCCTTGTTCTGGAACTCGTCCATTAGAAGTTTGATCGTCTGACCGATCTCACCGAAGTTTGAGTAAAGGTTTGCTGCGTAGAACTCGTCCTGAGAACTAGAGAGAACAATGTCCTAAAAAATTATGGGTTTAAGATGATTTTATCAAATTTCCTTACAATAGATTTGATTTGATTTGATTAGATTTGATTAGAACTTACTAGAATTAGTAAAATTTGATTAGATTTGATTAGAATAGATAACAGTTGATTTAATTTGATTGGGATTGAAATAATTGATTATAATTTGATTAAAATTGATTACATAGAATATTTTATTTGATTAGTTTTGAATTTATTTGATAAGATTCGATTAGATTTAAAAAGAAGTGATTCGAATTATTAAGAATTGATTAGTTTTGATTAGAATTAATTGAAACAGAGTGAAAGAGATCAGATTTGATAATATTAGATTAGAGTTGATAAAATTAGGATAGTTGATATAAATTGATCAGAATTGATCAACTAACTTGGAGATCCTTGGTGACCCCTGGCACTGCGGCTAGGTTAACCCTGTTGTTATTTATCCCTATCAGCTGATGAACCATTGCTTGGTAGGTCCATTGACTCAGCAGGGGCGTTACCGGATCTTCACGCCTACAGAATATAGGAGTTTATTGATAATTGAGTAAAAATCAGCAGATCAATCAAAATATAAACATTTGATTACAAATCATAAATTGACTTTACAATACAGTGCATCAACAGATTACTTTATCAAAATGTATTAAACCTTCAATCAATCAATTAACGGAAAATGCAATCAATTAACAATGAATTCGATCAATTAACACTAAATTCAATAAAATATATTGAATCAAACAGTCGACCGAGTAAATAGTTCCTAGTGTTAATACTATGGAGAATTTTCTGATAACTTGTATGTAGCTATGCATAATGCATATTGTATTATGGATTGTATACATGTAATAATTTTTGTTATCAAATGATAAAATGTCTATTAATAGAAATTACGCAATAGAACTATTTATCTCTAGGCTTATTTCAAGTAAAAATAGCCGCAAAGCAAAGAAAATTTGGGGGCTGGGTCATGGTTTTGAATCCTCATGTTGGTTCCATGTACCTACCTACCTACCTATCAAGTATAAGTAGTACTGGACTATTATCTGTTCCATCCAGGTACCTACCTACCTATCAAGTATAAGAAGTACTGGACTATTATCTGTTCCAGGTACCTACCTACCTATCAAGTATAAGAAGTACTGGACTATTATNAACAGCCACATCCAGGTACCTACCTACCTATCAAGTATAAGAAGTACTGGACTATTATCTGTTCCAGGTACCTACCTACCTATCAAGTATAAGAAGTACTGGACTATTATCTGTTCCCCCGGCATCGAAATGTCCTCCTTCTCTAGTAATAATCTGCCGAACAGACTGCGCCAGTAAACTAGAAGGACCTGATCCCTCCTACACAAAAACAAAAAATTCAGTTAAATCGTAAGATTTACAGACTCATAGAAACATTTACTTTCACATAACTTAAAGGTTTGAATTTGACTTTTATGTCTGCAATCTATATTAGCCAAAATCGTATTTTTTGTGCCTTCAAATTGTTTGGGCCTTTACAGATATCCAAAATGAATTGCCTTAATCTATCGGACTGCAAAACATTCGGATTATTGTTATAAAAGGGAAAAACCAAACAAAAAGTTCTCAACTCTGAAAAAAAGAAAACTTATTTTCGGAGGAAAATGATAAAAAAAAACAGATGAAGGTAACTAAATTTAGCATCTCTACCTGATATCTAATAACTGGAGACATCTTTAGAGCTAGAAGAAGAGATGAAAGGGCGTGGCTGCTCCTCTGCAGACTTTGCTCCACCCACCTCGACCCTAGAGGTTGAAGGGGGTGTGGAATATTTAATCCGAACAAGTGTGCTCCAATCGGAAGGAAATCGGTGTAAATTTCTCGCACATCTCGAACTACTTCCTGAACGAAAAAAACACTGTTGTCAGCCAGAGGGGGGTATATTTTTAACAAATTTTTAACTCTATTAAGGGGCTGGGGAAACAATTAACAAAAAAGAAAAAGGTGGAAGGAAAGGGGAAAAATGGAAGAAAAAGGGTGAAGAGGGCTGCCTGCTTATCTCAGGGGGGAGGGGGGTGGGGCTTGTTATTGGTCTTTTGAGGGCACCAAAACGCTACATTGTTCTACAAAGAAAAAAAAATTCTTCCAACTTTGGGGAAAAAATTATAAGAAGGGGGGGCTAAAATATGAATCTTAGAACTAATTAACATATAAATGATCAGTTTCTAAAAATCTTAATGAAACCTATAGATATGTACCTGCATATCTGCCTCTGCAATCTGCTTGACAGCTGATTTAGGAACCAGATTAGTAAAATTTATATAATACGATCCATATCTAGGATTTGACAGTTCACTACAGAGTAGATTTATAGAATCCTCGGGACGAAGAATAACAATGCATTTGAGGTGTCTCAGATCCTCAGATCCTGGTGTATTCTGCAGCTTCTCAAACAAGTAAACCTCCTGGAATATTTATATACACTACAGTGAGACCCATATAAAACTCTGGAATAAAAAAACAACAGTTAAAACTCAAGTTATGATTTTAAATATTCCAAAGAATATGAATAGATAAAACAGAGCAATTGTACAATTGTACAATTGAACTCAGAAAATTTACTAATATCTAAATATTAGTGGATTTTCTGAGTCAATTTTTTAAGCGATAACAATTTTGTCTTTTAATAATTATACATTTCCTATATTTTTTTTGAGAACACCTATCGTTATTGTTTTTAAATACAAAATATTGGATTTAGGAAAACTGTATATTGTTCCTGTTTTATTTAAGCTCTTCGACAATAAATATATATGTTCCCTATAGCTGGGTAAACGGCCGGACCAAATCAGCTGATTTTTTTTTATTATCTTAAATACCTGTCTCATTAGCGCTGATTGGGCAAATGCCAAGGATACAATTGGAGTTGTTTCTGCATCAAGCAGCATAACCTTAACAGGGACAGAATTTAATGAATTTGGGAGAGGTCGCTGAACTTCCTACCACCGGTTCAAATCCTAAATCGCTAATTCAAATATTGAGATTACAAAATTGATCAACTTTTACAAATCTCTTTTACCACAGCAAAATTTTCAATTTTTTCGCGTTTTCACAGCTTTAACTTAATTTTCTTACATCCATGGTTTAAGTTTTTTTACCCCCCCCCCCCCACATTAGGAAAACCGCTGATATAGAAGTCAATGAAAGTGAAAAAATCAATTATTTCCGTTATTTTATGTTTAATTTTTGTCTGGTCGCTTTACACATAATTTAAGTATAAGTAACAATGAATGTATTTTCAAAAATTACAAGAATGAAAAATGAAAATTTGGACAAGAAAAGTATCCTTTTGTTATACTTTTTAACCAAAATTTATTGATTTTCCCCTTAACGTCATTTATATCTTCTAAAATCATTTATTTTCCCCAATAAACCGGAGGAAAACCTTAAAAAAAGGGAAAATGTTTTTGAATGAAAATTAGTTAAAAACACACCTTCATTCCTGGTCCAGCTTCCTCCAGAATCTTGAGAATATAACTCTGAACTATATTGACAAGATCCATCCTAATCTTCCCCTTGACAGATCTCACAAACCAGGTTCAACTCTCAAGTCAGGAGTCTACTTTAACATGAGTATGGATCAGGTTCAGGTTCTCTAACCTTATTTTAACCCTAGTAAAACCTTTCTTTAATCAGCACTTCATCCCTCTCGACATTTTTTTCTGAATTTGATAATTAAATGTTTAGTATTCACAGAGTATCAGGACAGTGCCGGACAGGTTAAATTGGGACATTTAATTTTTTTTGAATTTGGCTAAAGGGGAAAATAAAATTTCCCGAAAATATACACCCACGATTTCTTTCCAATCCAAAAAAAATTTCTCTGACCCCTGTCAAAAAAAAAGATAATATATGGTACTGAATGAATAAAATGAAATTAAGCTAATAACTTGATAGGGTGCTCATGTTTAACACAAAGATAAAGAGAGAAATCGTCAAAATTTAATATATCACAGTTTCAAGTATATTCAATTCATCACAGGGGTATAGAAATAAACGTAGTTAGTTTTTGGTGTCTCAGTTTACGTTGTTTAACAATTTTAATTTTTAGAAAATTTTGGTTTTGGCAACGCTTACAACAATAAGATTAGAGAGGGATTTAAACCCAACATACAACCCCAAGCGTAATATTACTTTAATAAAAAATTATCTTTTAAAATTTTTTTAATGTTTGAGCTGTTTAAGTGACTGATGTCATAATTTAAGTGATCTTCAATTCAAATACGGACATGCCCGCATTCACAACGGTACTCTTGGAATCTTTAATTTGATCAGTGACTTGGAAGAAAACATCGTTTTTCTGGCTGGAAAAGTGTTTAATTCTGATCATTCAACCATTTTTATCTAAAGAAAATGTGCAGGTAACATTTCCTTTAAAAACCCAAATGAAAATTAAAAGTTTACAAAAACATGGATATCTAATCTAATTCACACTTGATCAGACAAAACTTTCAAGTGCACCATTTAAATAGGATAAGCCACTCCATCAATGAAGGGTCACTTACAATTACGTTTATAATATTTTTTTGATGATGAATACCCCATTAGTAAAATATACTACTATAAAATTTCCACAGTGGTTAACTAATAGTATCAGGTATACTGGCTGGAGACGGATCTACTCCTGTATTCTCCGGATCCTGTCATCTGTCCCGGATATTGGAGCAGAACTCTAGAATATCAGTCTGGAAGAGAGAGAGGAACACGTCCAGAGTGAGGACAGGGAGACCCATCCACACAGGGATCATCACGTAGTACAGGTTCAAGATACTTCCCTCCAACCTACACAATACTAACTTAAAGCGAGTGTTCATAAAGGGAGTGCACATAAATCTCAATGGAACTCTTTTTATCCTGCCACTTTGTTTCTCAACGTAGTTTTTTACATCTAAATATTTACGAGTCTCCTTGTTTATAAAAACAATACAAAAAAGAATAAGGCATGAACGGGGTTTGCGTGGAATAAAGAAGAACATAAAAAAAGATTTAGCATGGGTTCAGAAATTTATTTTTGAAGTCATAACCACTTTCTTTCATGAATCCTGAATATGTGATATGTACAAAGCAGTGCTTAGGATCCATTTCATTTAATGCGGATGCTGCGCTCTGAAAAAAATGGATCCGGGTCATATCATGAACATTGAACAGTTATTAAAGAAGAATTTTAAAATTATTTTTCTTATTTTTTCCTATGCATATTTTTATTCCAAATCTTAATGAACCATCCCAGAAAAAATTAAATTTTCAATAATCTCCCCTTTTCAACAGTTCAGATTTTGGTTTTGAGAGCAATAAGTTTTTTTACAGTTTTTGATTGATTGTTTTCGTCTTGGATCCGAATGGGTGGACCCCCATATTTTTGCGGATCCAGATCCAGGAAGCCAAATTGCCTGCGGATCCAACAGACCCGGATCCTAAGCACTGGACTATTAAGTATCTAAATTCTATATATTTTTACTTGAGGCAAAGTAGAATTTCGGCTGTGACTTTGAGAATAAGGCCGACAAAACAAAAAATATGCCTGGCTGCTCCTCGCTGCCACCTAGAAAATAACAAATTAGTTGCATTCTTGTCTATAGATATATCATATCAAATCAAGTGTTAATCTTAAGGGGAACCCAACATGGAACCCCCAGACTGCCTTCAGGGCGCTATGCACCACCGTGCCTGGAGTCCATCCAAAACTAGGAAGAAAATATTTTTTCGGACGAATAAAGTTTATTCCTTTTGAATTTCGCTTCAATGTTGGAACATTAAGAAGACAAACAATTATTTAGCCAATAAAAAATCGTTAAATACAAAAGTCGACTGTTTTAGAAGCATTTAATCGCTTTACACTAAAAATCATCCGATCTAACGGTAAATGTCTAATTACCTGTCATTAGAAGTTCTCCTGTGAGACCCCATGAGAAAGATGAGATAAACCAGAAGAATACAATCATACAACCACATTGGTACAAACACTATAAACCAGGACCACCTAGCAAATAACCAAATTCAAGTATTTAAACAAGTATTAGTGATATCGAACAAGTTATAAGTGACATTTGATTGTTGTAAATGAAAATGTAAATAACATAAGAACATAATCAATAAAACTATTTGTGACATTTTATCATAGTAAATAATTTATTACTTAAGAAGCGATTGTAAATTATTCCACGTGTCATACTTAAAATATTAATATAAGAGGAAGAAGGGCGGGCTGGGGTCCTTAAAGCGTTCTCTAGGAGTAAACCAACAAATCCGTCCTCAAAAAGCGACTTAATTGTCTGTTTTCATATTCCTACCTGACTCTCTGGTCTAGCCTGAGAACTATAAGGATGAGAAAGATGAGAGTAATGAACCAAGTAAATAAAGCTCTGTGAAGAACAGCCATTTCTATATTAACGGACGAGATCTGTTCTGATTAAAGTTCCTGATACAACTGATTTCCTTCGTGCAAGGTTTCCAGATATAATTTCCCATTTCTCACCATGATGATGTTTATACAATATAATATTACAATTCTAGAGATATCTGAAATGTAACAAAATTTTGGTTAAACCTTTTGAACTTAATTTTTATCAATAGTTTTTAACAGAATAAAACTTTAAAAATATATTTGAAATAAAAAATTTCATAGAGAACGATTTTTTTAAATATTAATTTATTCAAATTTATTTAAAATATTACCGCTGCTCAGGAACTAAAACAATCACTAATTATTTAAAACCAAACCCTTAGTGATTTAGTTTCTTCGTCAGGGCGTATACAGAAATAAATCTAGGGGGCAAAACAAATTTGGCCCCCCCTAGAAGCTCCTAGGGGGGGGGGGCAAAATTTGAACGGTAAATTCAAACATTTGGCTTCTTGGATATCAGGCATAAGTATAAGATGCTTTAAAAGAACACATACAGTTCAATTACCTTACAAGAACTAATCTTCTATCTCTCCTTAAAACTAGCTAGCAGAAAAAAGTATTGCTTCTAAAACATCGACATTTTATTATACTGTTATGTTAGTAATAATTAGTATTTTAACTAGAGAAAGTAAAAGACATTTTTTTAAATGAAAAACTTACTTTAACTCAAATTTTATGAAATGAAGAAAAGAACAGAGGTCCAGAAAATAATCATGACTTGTAGGAGTACAATTGTAATCTATATAATAAAGCTCTTCGTTCATTTATATGTTTGCTATGGCCCGGCTGGCCAAACGACTGAATCAATTGGGCTGAATTTACGTGAGGAAACTAATGGATACCCTTGGGGGTGATCACTCTAGCGTTTAATATTTGAAGTGTGAAAGCTCTGAGTTCTAGGGGGGCTACGCCCCTCCCCTTTACAGGTCTAGGGTGAGGCACTGCCCCTTGCCCCCCCTCCCTGTATACGCCCTTGTTTATTTGAAATAATTGTCAAGTGAGTTTAGCAAGTGTCAAGATTCAAGAATATATTGACTACCCGTATAAATGCGCGTGTAGGATATTTCAGCCGCGTACTGGTTTCATACTGGTTGGCAAATATGAGATCGTCTTCAATTAAAAAAAAGGTCTTACAATGGGTGGTGTATTTTTCGACCTACACATATCCGCCATACTCCACTTCTGACCTACGCCAAATCCGCTATACTACACATCCGACCTACTAGCACGTGGTATTACAGCCGCTCTATGGACTTGTGGCCGCAGCGCCCGGCCCCCTAGCTTGTCCTAGCCGCGGCGCTCGGCCCCCTAGCCTGTCCTAGCCGCAGCGCTCGGCCCAGAAATTGTCTTAACCTAACCTAACCCTCAAATAATACTAAAATAAACAGCTGGCGTAGGTCCGATATTGCAGTAGGTCGGAAAGTTAGTAGGTCAGAAGTTCAGCAGGGGGGATGTTGCGTATAGACGATGTAACATTACCCTTACAATGTAAGGATGCTATATTGTCCTTTGCACTCATGTCCGATTGAACTAACGTACTTTTGCACTAAAGTCAGCTGATCAGTAACACTTGTGGCCGCAGCGCCCGGCCCCCCTGTCAGCTAGCCGCGGCGCTCGGCCCCCTATACCTGTCCTATAGCCGCAACGCTCGGCCCAGAAATTGTCTTAACCTAACCTAACCCTCAAATAAAACGATAGTCCGAATGAACGTTAGTGCGAAAGTACGTTAGCCCGATCAATCATTAGTGCAAACGATACGACACCAATGTGAGAGTGGATAATGATATTTGGATATTTTTTTGAACTATGTATGTATCGAATGTATCATCGTTCGTTTGAACAATTTGGTCGTACTAGTGTTTATTTTAACTATACTGACATGACGTCATTGTAGTTCAAATTAAGAAAATACTTTCTCATTTGAACTATTTTTTTTCAAACTAAAGCAGTTTTATAAATTTGAGATTGGCATACATGAATTCAGGGGCAAATACAGGATTTAAGTGAGGGGGGGGGGGGCAAGATTTTTTAGGAACAAAAAAATTCATAATTAGGAAAAAAAATCGCGACTAAAAAACTAGATTTTTAACTTTTCACGCATTATAGTTTATTAAGACAGATATTTTTCCTGTTTTGCACTAGGGTTTCTTTCCCTTGGCATGCTATTGAGATTTAAGAAGCTATTCTGAAAATAGGAACAAAAAATTCAAATTCAGGGGGGGCCTACGCCCCGGTCCCTGAATTTCTGTCAGGGGCCGGGCTACGCCCCTCCTGAATCTGTCAGTGGGGGCGAATTTCCCCCCCCCCCTGTATCCGCCCCTGCATGAATTAAAGATATAGTTTGAATGAACAATTAATCATGTTTTTAAGAACATAAAAATAGTTCAAATGAACGTGTAAAAAAATTCAAATGAACCAATTTTTTTAAAAGAAATAACAAAAACAAAAATATTTCAAATAAACCAGAAAATATAAGTTCAAACGTGCATTGTATCGGTGCGTGCATGTACCGAAAACTACACTTATCTTGGAAACGAACCAACTGAACTGAATGTATAAATCATAAAAAACTACTGTATTTAAAGAAGTTTTCCACAACACTGCATACTCAGTTCAACTTCCTGACATAGTCGGTCACTCCCTTTAATATTTACAACTTAGATAAGTTAATAAGTTAATAAGTTAAGAAGAATTTACAGTTCAAATGTTGCCCCCCCCCCCCCCCTAGGAGCTCCTACATTTTTTCTGTGTGCGCTCATATTTCACATTATTTTTGAATCAATACATTATTTTGTTCCGTCAGGAATTAAGTCTTGTGTTTACATTACCGCCCAGAGACAGTAAACTGCAGTACAAAAGATGCGTACACCTCTGAAATAACTTTCAGCTTGCATTATAACCTTGAGGTGGACAACATCCAGTTAATCATAAAGATATCACGATTAGAAAATTTGAGTTTGTGGCAAAGACTAAAATCCTTTTTGCTACTTTTATTTTATAAATCATTTTGATTTATTTTAAAATGCAAAATAATATTCTAAACTTCAGATTTTGAGTTTTCCTAGCTATAATCTCCAAACTTGAGTTCGAAATATCTAAAATTGGTTTATTAGAACTTTTACAATGTTAACATTTGAATAAAATTTCTCCTTTATCTATGCAAAATGCACACTTAAATATATATTATATACATATGTATCTAAATGTATTTACAACTGTTAAGAATTGAAATTCAAATTTAAAAGATTAGGTTTAGTTGAAAAGGATTATTAATGAAATGGAAAGAATGGCGAAAATATTCGCAAGAGAAAATTATAAATTCATACTTTGCAAATTTTTTTTTGTGTTTACATTTTCATGCATTCAATGTTGAATTAAAAATCTACGAAAATATAGTAAATTCCAAAAAACTCTGGAGTATAGAAGAAGAGACAGGAATTGTGCAGTGTAAACTGATTTATTTCACTTAATAATCAATTAAATAAGTTAAGTTAAAATAGTTGCTACTAAAACTATTTGGTGTGTAACAACATTAAATACACTTGAGCATTGCTTTAATGTCGTAGTCCTATTCCACAGTTCAATGGTTCTTAATGTATTATATAAGAAAATGAAAAAAATGATGATAATAATAACGCTAAAGTTACAGAGTTATTAATAATTATGGGGTCTTCTCCTATTTTACAAATTTTGGAAATTTAAAATCAAATAAACAGAAAAATATATATTTTTTCTCAGCTCTTAACCCATCCTTACTTATGTTATTCTCTCAACCCGTCCTTGCTTAGTTTCTCCTCTCAATCCATCCCTGTTTAGTTTCTCCTTTAATATTTCAATCCCAATTTGCTAAGTTTCTCCTCTCAATTCATCCTTACTCGCAGATAAGTTTAATTAATTGAGAGAAGATTGAGGGATTGAGATGAGAAGCTAAGCAGTATGCAGGGATGAATTAGAGGAGAAACTGAGTGAAGACAGATTGAAGGTAAAAAATATACAATGACAGATTGAGAGGAGAACTTAAACAAAGACAGATTTGGAGGAGAAACTTAGCAAGGACGGTTAGAGGGAAAAAATTGAGTATGGATGGATTGAGAGGAGAAACTATGCAAGAATGGATTGAGAGGATAAATTGAGAAAGGATGGATTGAGAGGAGAAATTGAGAAAGGATGGATTGAGAGGAGAAATTGAGAAAGGATGGGTAAAGAGGAGAAATTGAGAAAGGAGGATGGGTAAAGAGGAGAAATTGAGAAAGAATAAATATATTGTTTTTGATTTTATCTTTAAATTATGAATCTAAACTTTGTTTATATGCACTAATATTCAAATGAAATATAAACAGCTAACTTAAGTTGAACGTTAGATCAATTAGAATTGTAAGTTGGATTCATATAAAAGAAATAACAATTTAACTGGCGACCCCCCTTAAAATTAAAATTTACATGGAGGGGCATTTTTGCACATATTTTGCATGGACGAGTATTTTGGATTTGCAGTGAACGAAACGTTTTGCGAAAAAAGGGAAAATTTTCGTTCGCATTTCGCAAGCATTTTTTTGCGAAAACTAATGAAGCAAAAAAAATGTAAAAACAATGCGAAACTTTGCGAAATGCGAAATTCGAAAATTTCACGAGAAAAAATTAATTGCGCAAAAAATCCTGTGGAATTCTCTGCTCTGAAAGATCAATCATTGAAGTTTTATTAAATTATATCTTCCTTTACTTATATAAATGTTTGATGAAGAGAATTTGATTTCTCTAGCTATCTATCTTTCTGAGTTTCTGTCCGTCCACGTACGTTCACCCAAATCCACCTAGCCATAAGCCAGCAAATTAAAGAAAGAATATTTTAAATCACCCGTATTTCTTCGCGAAATTTTTGTGTTGTTTCGCATAATTCCAGCATTTTTTTTCGCGAAATTTTCGCATGATTTTTTCGTCTTTTTTTGCGAAATATTTGTATTTTCTACATCGCGAACATTTCGCATTTTTTTTTGCGAAACAGATTGAAGAGAAAGTTCGCGAAAAAATCGAAAATTTTCTTATTCTTTTCGATCGAACGAAATACAAACAATGCGAAATTTTCGGCGAAAAAAAGGATTTTCCTTTTTCGCTGGAAACCCTGATTTGCACTCTTACTCTTT